CCCTCCTTCCTCCTCCCTCCCCGACACACGCCGGGTTCTGTAGTCTGTAGCAACACGCCCGATGTTTTCATTTCTCCCCGCCATGTTCCCCCCAACGTCGTCGGTATCTTGCTCACCATCTCATCTCACATCTCATGGGATGACATTCTTTAGGAAACTTCACATTTGTCCGATTTTTCCGAGTATGGAAACATTTTCGACGCCAGCTTTGGCCTTTTTTTGTTGTAGAGTGCACAGAATTCTACACTTATTTATAGAATTATGTTGTAGTGATACCTGTTGGGCATCATCAGATTCAAATTACAGATGGTAGCAGTCTCTGCACTTTATTTTGGTTTTAGCGCCGACATGATGTCGCTTACAAGGTACCCCCCCAACATTTCTGAGAGAGGAACTACACTGGTAGATTCGAAACTTACGAGTGGTAGATTCTTAACTTACTATAAAGGTTGTGTGAAGCAGATGGTTGGCCTTCGCCACTGGTGGTAGGACCTACATACAATGTACTTCTTTTGTTTCATTCTATTGTTTCTCTCTGTGTCGGCTATCCCTCTGGGATAAAAAAAACAACAACAAAAACCCCCAACCCTAAATGCCAGTTATCGTGTCGGATTGCCTCTCTCTCTTTGCTCAAATTCAAACTCAACCCAATATGCTGAATTACATGACTCACACACACCCTTCTTGAGCTATCCAAACTCACAGCGTGTTAATCATGTTTTTCTTTTTTGTGGGGGAGGGGTACTGGAAATTTGCTTTTCGTTTAATTAGATGGTTAGAAGGTGCCATGATGTGGTTTTCTCCTTCTTTCCTACCAAGCATCTATCGCCCTTATCTCTCCCCCTTTTCTTTGTATGTTATTCTCAATTAACACCTCTATTCTTCGGCACTGGTATGACCTATTTATTTGTGTGCTATAAAACTTGTTTTGAAGCTCACATCCCCCTCTTCCCCCTAAAAATAGCAGAGCTTTTTGGTTGAATCTTTCGCTCACACAAGTCTGTCACCGCCGACTATCCATCCCTCTCTCTCTCT